AAGACAAGGCTGCCCTCTCTCTCCATATCTCTTCAATATCATACTGGAACTTCTAGCTAATGCTATAAGACAACAAAAGGAGATCAAGGGGAACCAAATTGGAAAGGAAGAATTCAAACTATCTGTATTTGCAGATGATATGACAGTTTACATAAGTGACCCAATAAACTCTACCAGGGAACTCCTACAGCTGATGAACACCTTCAGTAGGATACAAGATAAACTCAAAAAAATCAGTAGCCCTACTTTTTTCAGATGACAAAGAGACAGAGAAAGAAATCAGAGAAACATCACCCTTTACAATAGCCACAAGCAACATAAAGTATCTTGGTGTAACGCTTCCCAAACAAGTAAAAGACATATATAATAAGAACTTTGTGGCTCTAAAGAAAGAAATTAAAGAAGATACCAGAAAATGGAAAGATCTCCCATGCTCTTGGATAGGTAGGATAAACATATTAAAAGTGGCAATCTTGCCAAAAAATCTACATATTCAATGCAATCCCCTTTAAAATGCCACCACAATTCTTCACTGACCTTGAAAGGATAATAATCAATTTTATACGGAAAAACAAAAGACCCAGGATAGCCAAAACAACCCTATACAATAAAAGAACTTCAGGAGGCATCACCATTCCTGACTTTAATCTCTACTACAGAGCTATAGTTCTGAAAACAGCATGGTATTGGCACAAAAATAGACAGGTAGATCAATGGAATCGAATTGAAAAACTTGATATTAACTCACACACCTGTGAACACCTGATTTTCGACAAAACAGCTAAAATTATACAATGGGGCCAAGAGAACATCTTCAACAAATGGTGCTGGCACAATTGGATGAGGGTGTGTAGAAGATTGCAGATAGACCCATGTCTGTCGCCATGTACAAAACTCAAGTCTAAATGGATCAAAGACCTCAACATCAATCCAGCCACATTGAACCTCTTAGAAGAGAAAGTAGGAGGTACCCTGTTACAAATTGGAATAGGAGACTGCTTCGGTAACATAACTCCAGGGGCACAGACACTGAGAGCAACAATTATTAAATGGGACCTCTTCAAACTTAGAAGCTTCTGTAAGGCAAAGGACACAGTGGACAAGACCAAACGACAGCACACAGACTGCGAAAAGATTTTCACCAAACTTATATCCAACAAAGGACTGATCTCCAAAATATACAAAGAACTCAAAATCTAGTCAACAAAACACTAGATAGCCCTATTAAAAATGGGGTACAGAACTGCAGAAAGAATTCTTAATACAGGAAATCAAGAGGGCTGAAAGACACTTAAGAAAGTGCTCAATATCCTTAGCTATCAGGGAAATGCAAATCAAAACAACTTTGAGATACCATCTTACTCCTGCCAGAATGACTAAAATTAGAAACACCAATGATGACTCATGCTGGAGAGGATGTGGAGAAAGGGGAACACTCCTCCACTGCTGGTGGGAGTGTAAACTCATACAGCCATTTGGAGATCATTATGGGGGTTTCTCAGGAAAATGGGAATTAGTTTACCACAGGACCCGGCAATCCCCCTCTTAGGCATATACCCAAATGATCCACATCCATGCAACAAAGACATCTGTTCAACTATGTTCATAGCAGCACTATTTGTAATAGCAAGAACCTGGAAGCAATCTAGAGGTCCCTCAATTAAAGAATGGATAATGAAGATGTGGTACATCTACACAATGGAATACTAGTCTGCAGAAAAATAATGGTACCTTGAAATTCGCAGGCAAGTGGATGGCACTTGAAGAAACCATCCTGAATGAGGTCACCCAGTCACACAAAGAGGAACATGGTATGTACTCGCTCATATATGGATTTTAGACCTAGATCAAAGGATCACCAGCCTATAATTCACACCACCATAGGAAGTAGGATACAAGGTATATTCTAAGAGATTTATGTAAAGTCCCTCACAGAAGGGGGAAGGGACAAGTCCCCCAGTGCACAAGGGAAATGCAGGGGCAGTGAATGGAGAGAGAAGTAGGAGAAAACGAGGGGGAGGAAAGGAAAACACATGTGACCAGGAAGATTGAGCTTGGTTAGGAATAGAAGATGAGAGAGAGAGAGAGAGAGAGAGAGAGAGAGCGAAGATAAAAGAGGAGCCAATATTGTTTTGAAGATAAAATGGAACACAAAGAAAGGTCTAGAGACCTACAAGACTGACTCCAACTAACAATTTGAGCTTCCGTGGAAAGGCTACCATAAATGCCCTTCCCGGATAGTGAGATCAACAACTAACTTATACATGGAGCCCTCAACTAATGCCTATTGGAAACAGGAGCAAACACCCATACATAAACACTGAGTCTAACTAGAACCCAGATGCAGATGGAGAGGATAAGACCAGGCTGCAGAATCTCATAGAGACAGCTTAGCTGAACAAGGAGAAGCTAACGGGCCACCAGAGTGATAGCTGGGAAGCCAGCATGGGACTGACTCAGGCCCCCCTGAATATGGGTCTCAGCCAGAAGGACTGAGCAGTCTAAGGGACCTCAGACAATGCAGCCAAAATGTATCCCTGTTGCACAAAAGGACCTTGCGAACACATCCCTCATGGAGTGATAACTGCCTTAACCTAGATACAGAAGAGAAGCCCTAGTCCCTAATTCACATGACCTGTCAGATGTACATGACCCCAAGTGGATGGCATTCCCCTACATATGGAATTGGGGTGGGGGGGGGATGGGAGGCGAGGGAGGTTAGGGTGCATGTGACAGGGAAGATAGGGTAAATGGGAGGGAGGGAGAGGGAACTGGGATCGACATGTAAAATAATAAATTAAATTAAAAAAATGCTTTGACTCCAAAATTTAAGTTCAAGGACAAGTTACTGGGGAAAAGGATTTCTCTTTTTATTTCCACAGAAAATGAAAAGCTGTGGATTCCTTCCAGACTATTGTGGTTTGATCACACCAGACCACCTGATACAGAGTACCAGGTGATCCTGCATTCAAAACAGCTGGACAAAGCAGCCTTACAGAGTACAGCCAGGATTTCTTCGTCTTCTTAGAATCCCCCATGACAGTGTCCCTTACCAGCAGGAAGTAGTTTGGAAAGGATAACGCCCAAATTCCCAAATATTGTCTATAAATGTTTGTTTTCATTTAAATGGACTTGGTTATATAAAATAAATAAATAAAAAAAGAAGACAGAAAAAAGAGGGAGAGAGAGAGAGAATAAAAGAGGGAGCCGTTGTAGGATTGAAGAGGAAAGTGAACCTAAAGAAATATACAGAGACCAACAAGACTGACTCCAAGTAACAATTTGAACAACAGTGAAAATTCTACCTAAATGCCCTTCCCTGATAATCAGATAAACGACTAACTAATCCACCATCATGGAGCCCTCATCTAGTACCTGTTATAATCATAAGCAAACACCCACAACTAAACATTGAGCAGAACTAGAATCCAGATGCAGAGAGGTAGGACAAGACCAGGTTGCAGAAACACATAGAGACAGCTTACCTGAACAAGGAGGAGCTAACGGGACCTCAGACTGATAGCTGGGAATACATCATGGGACTGACTCAGACGACCTGAACATGGATCTCAGCTAGAAGGCCTGAGCAGTGTAAGGGACCTCAGACAGTGGGACCAAGACATATCTGTGGTACACAAAAGGACCTTGTGGGCATATCCTTCATGGAGGGGTACTCCCTTAACCTAGAGACAGGAGAGAAGTCCTAGTCCCTACTTCAAATGACTCGACACATTTAGGTAACCCCTCCTGAATGGCATCACCCTACATATGGAGTGGGGGCAGATGGGACGAGAGGGTGGGCAGGTGCATGTGAGGAGGTGGAGAAAGAGAGAAAGAACGATGGAGGAAGGGAGTAAGGGGGGAGGGAGAGGTAACTTGGATGATGGATACGTTAAAAAATAAAGTTAGGCAGAGGAGGACAAGTGAGGAGATGAAATGACCAACCATTGAACCTCTTTCCTGAAAAGAATGCATTTTTGACAATGGTGAGGAGTGAACATTTTCCCAATATGTAAAGACAGACCCATTGTTCAGGTGGAGAAAGTATGGCTTCCCACTGAATCTATTTGCTTCTCCTTTTTCAAAATCAATAGTCTTTTACAAAGACCAGTCTATGGAAAGACTCTCAGATGCAGTTGTCTTCTTCCACATTGGCATCCATATCTCATTTACAACAAGAGCATGAGAGGTGGATGTCATCTGCCCCAGCCAACTGTAAGTGCAAAGAAAGAGGAGTGAGGGCTCATGGGACTGGTGTGGCACTGAGGATGCTGCCTAAACACTCAGAGCAGAGCAGAGGTAGATGGGCTGCAAAGGACTACATCAAACAGAAACACCACGGAATCAACGAATTGATGGTTAAATTTTTATTCAATTCATATTGTCTTTGGTTAACAGAGATTGTTGCACCCACACTGTTAAGAACAGTACTTCAATCCACTGGATCGCCAGTTGGTGATGATTGAGAAGTCAGGGATGTATGCTGAGAGTACAACTAATGAACTGGTCCTATGCAGGAGCAACAATTGCTTTGACCAACAGAGTCAACCTTCCAGTCCCAACACACAGAGTTTGGAGAAGAAGAAAAAATGTCTTCTTGCTTTTCCAGGTCTCTTATAAGAAAGCTTTCATGTTATTTCCCCCTTTTCTCTAATTTAGTGATCATATGCTCTGCTCAGTCTGTCTCACACAGTTTCCTCCAAGAAAACATATTGGGATGGGCATGGGATCAGGAACTAAACAAAACCCCAGTATCCAAATGTAGGACAGAAAGCAAAACAGTACAGCAAGTGGGTAGAGTATGCTAGAATACAGTGCTCCCCTTACCAAACCTGCATTTCAACGCATGTAGTGCAGTATTAAGGGCCTGAGCCCCCATGCTGCCTTTCCCAAGATTCTCTGTAAATGCTACAGATGTCCCGCAGTCTACCCAGGTGTCCTTGGTACCGATGCTGGCTGCTGCTTCTGGAATGCACCTGTAGGTCACAGCTGAGAGGATCCTAAGATGGCTTGAGGCGTTTCGGAGGGGGCTTCAGTGAAGAGCAATGAGCAGAAGCCAGGGAGCTGTATGCTTCAGCCACCAAATGGGGATAGGAGCCCACCATTGTCTTCCAGCTTGAGGTCTCAGAGACCTCGAAAGCATGAGCTGTAATGAAATCCAGTGCCTTGATTTTCAGCTGCCCTGCAGTATGCAGGTCAGCCAGGATGAGAGCGTGGGCAGCATTGTCCACGCAGAGGTCCCTGCACAAGGCATCCTCGCATATAACCTTCAAATGCTCCAGGCCATACTTGTCAGCAGCTGCCAGCACAGCATCTGCCATGCTGTGGAGGTCTGGTGCCTTTCCGGTGTAAATGAAGCCCATCATTGCCTCGAAGACTTGCGGCTCCAGATCGTGGATCTCAATGCGGTTTGTTCTACTCTCCTTCAAGTCATGTTGAAACATGTCTCTGAAAACCTCAGAGCGAGCTGCTAAGATGGCCTTGTGAGCCTGGAACTCCTGGCCAGCTACTACCAGGCAGCAGTCTGTGAAGAGGGAATTCTCCCACAGCTCTCCTAACTCATCTGCCATCGTGCATCTTGGAACCTGAATCTCTGGCATCATGCTCTGTTCAGTGATAGTGAATAAGTCTTGGATAAGGGTCATATTGCAGAGAAGAGAAAGCTCATTGTTTGGGAGAAGCCAAGTCTCCCTTGACAACAGGAAATAATGATGGATGAAATTTTTGAGTCCCCAGTATTGATTTTGAATGAATCTGAAGTATCTTGGACTCTTCATGCCTTGAGTTTTCTCTCCTTCGGAACTGATGATCCAAAAGTGGAACTTTGCCCATATTGGGCTCTTTGGGCAACTGAGCAACATTAGGGAAACCGACAAGTAATCTTCGCTTTCTTCATCGACACCATTCGGGTGTACTTTCAGACACCATTGGTTCTGGTCACTGCCTCCTGATGAGAAGGTAGGACTTTTAATGGCTTCTCTCGTTTCCCGCATAAAAAAATGGAAGTTACTTATGGTCCATCTGCAGGAAAATTTCTGGACACAGTTCTCTGTGTAGCCCCAGCTCTGGGTTGCCAGGTCCCCTGACATATCTACTTGTGGTCGTTTGAAGGGTAACCTGGATCCAAAATGAAGAAGTAGGACTTTTTGGTCTTCAACCCGAGGGTCACATACAGGTATCTACAACAAAACATTAAAAGACCCAGAGACTGATATTGGGGCTTAAGCTTCAAGCTGAAAACCAGAGACACAAAGCCCCCAAACCACTCGCTCTTGCCTACTTCAGTCTCCACGAGTTCTCCCAAGCATCAGAATGCTGCCTCTCCTTAGCTCCTGGAGATAATCCTGAGACTGACTACACAAGATCCGATCCTATCTTTCCTGCCATTCTAGTTCTGGGATCAAGAGAGTGAGGTCTCATACTCTTAAACTGGTTCAATCTCGGGTGTAGTCCTGGGTGTACTTAAACACAGAGAGAACCATCTCCCTTTGTCTCATGAGTCCTCTGATGAAAGGTGTCTGCCTTGCTTCTATGTCTCACTAGTATGGCTGCTTTCAAATATTGACCATTTTAATAAATCCTAAACTACTTATATGGCTTTAAAAAATACCAAACTATATATCACCACATATAGCTTTCAGACTTTTATTTTCTTATTTCCTCTCTGTTCCCACCACTATGGGCCTGGAGACCCGGGTGTCTCTGAAATTTTCTGTCCAGATCTCAATATTAGTTTCAGAGAAGACAGTTTAAGGTACTTGGGAGAGTCACATCCCTCCATTTTCTTGTCTAGATTGAATCATGGGTCAATGGGTACCTACTTTAGACAATCATACTCAAGTGTTGAATTGTTTCTAACATTTTATAGTATCAAAAATGTTGTACTGGGCTTCTCTAGAGCAACAGAATGTATAGAAGGAACCACTGTCTGTAGATGGAAATATTAATTAGAAGGATTAGGGGCTACAATCCTGCTAATCCCACAATGTGTAGCTGTAAAGGAAAGTCCAAGAATCTAGTACTTACTCAGTCCAGGAGATTAATCCTGTCTGCTGGTCTTCAGGAGTTGCAGGAAATCAGAATATTAGTAGCTAATGCCAGTGAATGAACAGGTAAGGTAAGGACCTTTGATCAGAGATCTTCCTCTGTGCTAGTTATTTTATAGGCTCCCACCATAATAGGCTCCGCCTATTTAGATCAAGGTCAGGATTAAAGGTGTGTCTGTCTTCTGGCCTCAACATCAAGATTAGTATGTGCCCCTCTGTCTCCAATGTTCCTGCTGCAAGTAGATCTTCCCAATTCAACTGAAGCAGAATATTTCTCATTGCAATGCTCTGCATGTTAGGATGTTAGTTTATTCCAGATGAAGTCAATCCAGGAACCAGGAACGTCTTTAACTTATTGTGCTAAATGAAGATTCTAAATTCTTCTATGTTCAATCATGCTGACAGAGTAGATTCCCAATTCTCAATTCCTTATCTTTGGGCTTTTTCTTGTTTTCCTCTATTTTTTTTTTTTATTTTAACACTTAAAAGTTTCAACTGTGGTACATGTAAACAATGGATTATGCCTCAATGGGAAAATACAATGACATTATGAAATTTGTAGGCACATGGATGGTACTAGAACAAAAAATTCTGTGTTATGTAACCCAAACAAAGGAATATAAACATGGTACATTTTGCATTTTTAACTGGTGACTTATGTCCTCTTCAAATTTTGAACTCCCATGCTTACTTACTCTCTAGGACCTGAAAAATGAGAAAGTATTCTGGTTGATATAAGAATCCTGAAACAGCTTGGTATTGACACAAAAATAGACAGACCAATCGAATCAAATAGAAAATCCTGATGCTAACCCACACACCTACAAACAGTTGATTTTTAACAAAACAGCTAAAAGTATACAACGGGAGGAGGAAAGCATCTTCAACAAGTGGTGCTGGTACAACTGGAGGATTAGTGTGTAGAAGACTACAGAGAGACCCATATCTATGGCCACCCACAAAACTCAAGTCCAAATGGATCAAAGTCCTCAACATAATTTCAGCCACACTGAATCTCTTAGAAGAGAAAGTTGTAGGTACCCTTGAACAAATTCTTACAGGAAACTTCTTCCTGAATGTAATTCCAGTAACACAGACACTGAGATCGACAATTATAAATGGGACTTCCTCAAACTGAGAAGTGTCTGTAAGGCAAAGGACACACTTGACAGAACCAACTGGCAGCCCACAGACTGTGAAAAGATTTTCACCAATCCCATATCTGACAGAGGGCCGATCTCCAAAATATACAAAGATCTCAAGAAGCTAGTCACCAAAACACCAAATAAACCTTTTTAAAATTAGGCTACAGAACTGATCACAAAATTCTCAATACAGGAAATCAAAAAGGCTGAAAGACACTTAAGAAAGTGCTCAACATCCTTAGCTATTAGGGAAATGCAAATCAAAACAACTTTGAGATACCATCTTACTCCTGCCAGAATGGCTAAAACTAGAAACAACAATGACAACTTATGCTGGAGAGGATGTGGAGAAAGGGGAACACTCCTCCACTGCTGGTGTGAGTGCAAACTGGTACAGGCATTTTGGAGATCAGTATGGCAGTTCCTCAGGAAAATGGGAATCAGCCCACCACAGGACACAGCAATTCTGCTCTTTGGCATATACACAAATGATTAACATTCATGCAACAAAAACATCTGTTCAGCTATGTTCATAGCAGCATTATTTGTAATAGCAAGAACCTGGAAGCAACCTAGATGCCCCTCAACTGGAGAATGGATAAAGAAGATGTGGCACATATAAACAATGGAATACTACTCAGCGACAATAAATAAATAAATAAATAAATAAATAAATAAATAAATAAAGGAACCTTGAAATTCACAGACAAATGAATGAAACTTGAACAAACTAATCTGAGTGTGGTAACCCAGTCACAAAAGAGGAACATGGTTTGTACTCACTTATAAATGGATTATAGACATAGCACAAAAATCACCAGTCTATCATTCACAGCACCGGAGAAACCAGAGAAACTAGGATTCAAGGAGGAACCTAAGAGTTTCATACAATGTTCCTCACAGAAGAACAAGGGAACAAGATCTCCTGAGCATATCAGGAGTGGTTATGGGGGCTGTGAATGGAGAGGGAGTTAAAAGAGAAGGGGAGAAGAGGAGAACATGTGGGACTAGAAAGATTGAGTCAGAGATACCATAGTAGAGGGTGCCAGTATAGGTATGAAGAGAAAACTGACTCTAGAGTAATGTCCAGAGACCTACAAGGATGACCCCACCTAACAATCTGAGCAACAGTGGAAAGGCTACCTTAAATGGCTTTCCCTGATAATGAGATTGATGATTAGCTTATTTACCACCATAGAGCCGTCATCTAGTAGCTGATGGAAACAGAAGCAGACACCCACAGCTAAACACTGAGCTAAACTGGAAGACATCACCCTCCCTGTGGATTGGGGGTGGGGCAATGGGATGGGAATGAGGGGCCATGGGAGGGAGGGAGAGTGGGTGGGTGTGTGGGGGGGAACTGGGATCGATACGTTAAAAAAAAAAAAAAAAAGAAAATTACCTCAAGGCCATGCTACAGAAACCCACACAGACAGCTCACCTGAACAAGGGAGAGCTCATGGACCCCCAGCTGGGAAAAAAGCATGGGACTGACTCATACCCCCTGAACGTTGATCTCAGTTAGAAGGACTGGACAGTCTAAGGGACTGCTGACAGTGAAACCAGGATGTATCCCTATTGCAGAAAAGGACTTTGGGAGCACATTCCCCATGAAGGTATACTCCCTTAGACTAGAGTCAAGAGGGAGGGCCTTGTCCCTACTCCAAACAACACAGATTTTGATGATCCCTCCTGGAAGGCATCATACTTCCTGTGGAGTTGTGGGGGCAAAGGATGTGAGGGGGGGGTCCGAGGACATGGGAGGGAGGGAGAGGGAACTGGGATGGATATGTAAAATAAAAAAATTATATATATATGTATACACATATATACATATACATACATATATATATGCTAACAGAATGGATACATAGACAGAATCCATCCTTCTGCTATATACAAGAAACATTCCTCAACTTCAAAGACACTGTATCACAGAGTAAAAGTTGGGCAACAATTTTCAAATCAAATAGATGCAAGAAACAAGCTGGTGTAGCTATCCTAATATCTAATAAATTAGACTTCAGACTCAAATAATTAAAAGAGATGAATATGGTCATTTTGTATTCATCACAGGAGAAATCCATCAGCACAAAGTCTCAATTCTGAGTATCTACGCCACTAATACAAAGGCACCCACATTCATAAAAAGAACATTACTAAAATTCAAATCACACATAAAACCTCATATATTTAGAATAGAAGACTTCAACACCCCACTCTCACCACTAGGTAGAACCACCAGATAGAAATTTAACAAAGAAACAAAGGAACTAATAAAACTTATGACACAACTTGGTTTACAAGACATCTGTAGAACATTCCATCCAAACACCAAAGAATATATGTTCATTTGAACACCACATGGAGCCTTCTCTAAAATCAACCACATTCTAGGCAATATAGCAAACCTTAACAGATGCAAATAAATTGGAATAACCCCCCTGTATCTTATCAGACCACCATGCTTTAAAGTTAGAATTCAACAACAACACAAATTGCAGAAAGACTACAAACTCTTGGAAATTGAACATTGCACTATTATACCATTCCTTGGTCAAGAAAGAAATAAAGAAATTAAAGATTTCCTAGAATTCAATCAGAATGATGACAAAACATACCCAATCGTATGGGACACTTTGAAAGCTGTTCAAGGAGTATGTCAACCCACAATATGGTTTTTGTGCTTAAAAGCTTACCCTGAGAAAGGGTAGTTGCTACACTGGAATCCAGAATACCCCATGTATTACCCAGCTGTCTAATTAAGACTATAGTGGCTTAAATCAATGGTCAAGAAGTATAACATTCTCTCTCTCTCTTTCTCACTCACTCACTCAATTGGTCAGTCTTTCTCTCCCCCTCTGTCTTTTGTGTTTGTTTGCATTTGTGTGTGTTTAT